AAAACTCCCCCACAAAATATCCCCCGAATAAAGATCTTGTCTGGGGGATATTGCCCCACAGCTGTAAAGTGCACAGTGCAAGGAAGCAGGCCGGCCTGGTACTTTTGTTGCAGGTGGCCGGCCGGCCACACCCCCTAGCCGGCCGGCTAAGGGTCAAAAGGTTCAATGAGATTTTCTGGCCGGGCAGCTACTGGTGAGGTACCCCTATGTGTGTACAACACAACCATGTGGTTAAAACTCCAAGAAAGTGGCTCCAAGGGGTTCAACATTAGCCTGGAAGGAGGGGTCAAAAGGGTCAAGTTGAATTAATGGCCGGCCATGAACTTTTAGGGGCCTCTCAGGTGTGTAGATCACAGATATGTGGTTAAAAGTTCAAGAATGTGGGCCCAAGGGGTTCAACATTAGCCCGGAAGGAGGGGGGTCAAAAGGGTCAAGTTGAATTAATGGCCGGCCATGAAATTTTAGGGGCCTCTCAAGTGTGTAGATCACAGATATGTGGTTGAAAGGGAAAAACGGGCGCCGGGAGGCTCCAGAGGATGTATAATTGGCTGCTGCAACAATTGCTGGCCTCCCACGCTTCAGTGACCTCTCCAGTGATAAAACAGATTGCTGGCCTCCCACCCTTCAGTGACCTTCCTCGTAATAAAACAGAGGTACCTGCCAAAAATAAACAAAAACCGTTGCAAAACGAATGTTCGGGGACCAAAACACGCAGTTTGGGGTCCCGAAAAAGGGCTGTTAAACACCGAAAGTGGTGTTCGGCCACGAAGTGGGTTTCTCAGACCCCAGTGTCCCTCAAAATGGAGCAAATAGGAAGTATGCCAAAAACCGGAGCAATAGGAGATGAAAATAGGAACTATGCCAAAAATTGGAGCAATAGGAGATGGCTAAGCGGTCCCGAACCGAGGCACACGGCCTGACGGCTCCGAAAACCGGGAACCGGACTCCGAAATGGGAAAAATGGCCTATGGCCACGAAATGTGGCCTACGGCCACTGAGAGATGGTCTGCGGGACCTCTCCCTCCCCTCAGGAAAGGATACAAAGAAAACCGAGCCTGGTTCGCAAACCGAGGCAGGGTACAGAAAAGGGTTCGGAAGTTCGGAGGCAGGGCTCACGGCCGCGACTCTGAGACTTCTGAACGAGCACATTATGCAACATCACCAAGCGCTCAATCGGTGACGTCTGAGTCTTAAGGTCGGTCAAAAATGGGGTGTCTACAGTTAGGGAGGAGGATATCTCGAAGACGAAATTTCGTACGCGGTATGGCCATTATGAGTTTCTGGTGATTCCTTTTGGGCTCACCAACGCACCGGTAGTGTTCATGGACTTGGCGAATCGAATCTTCTGGGAGTTCTTAGATCGCTTTGTGGTCATTTTCGTGGACGACATTCTGATTTATTCACCTTCGGAGGAGGAGCACGAGGAACAGTTGGGAGTGGTGCTTAAATTGCTTAGGGCCCATAAGCTATATGCCAAGTTTGGAAAATGTGAATTCTGGCTAAGAGTGGTTAAATTCTTAGGCCACGTGGTATCCGGGGAAGGGGTGACTGTAGATTCATCCAAGATTGAGGCAGTGCAAGATTGGGCACAACCTAAGAGTGTTTTTGAAATTCGCAATTTTCTGGGATTAACTGGGTATTACCGTCGGTTTGTGAAAGATTTCTTCGAGCTAACTTCGCTGTTGACCAGATTGACGCGAAAAGGGGTCAAGTTTGTGCGGAGTGAAACTTGTGAAAAGTCGTTCCAAGAACTTAAAGTTAGACTGACCACTGCTCCAGTTTTGATTATTCTAGAGAGAGGTTTGGGTTATGCAGTGTATTGTGATGCTTCACGAGAGGGTTTGCGGTGTGTATCGATGCAGGAAGGGAAAGTAATAGCCTATGGCTCACGTCAGTTGAAAATACCACTACTAAAAAAAATGGTTTTTGTGATCGTCACAAGCCGTCGCAAATAATAAAAATACAGTCGCAAAAGACCTTTTGCGACGGCCCATGCGACGGCAAATGGGGGTCGCAAATGTGGGGGTGGCAAATACTTTTTGTGACGGCAAACAACGGTCGCAAATGATTTGCGACCTTCTAAACTACTTATGGCGACTGCTATTTTGCCGTCACAAAAAACAAAAAAAATGCTAACGTGTTTTTTGGCGACTATCTTGTTACCGTCGCAAAAAAATAAATAAATAAAAATAAAAAAATAAAAAATGTGTGTAAATTATTGAAGCCATTGCATTTGAGTCTCAAAATTGAAGCCATCTGTGAAAATTATTACAACTAGAAATAGAAAAAAGTTCTTTTAGACACCATTATTAGCATGTCAAAATTAGAAAAGCACAAGAGGCCACACAAACCCTAACACAACAATCTAAATTTCAGATGAAATCTTTCTTAGATCTAACACAACTACAAGATACCACAACACTGCTCAAACAATCTAGAGTACCATTCCAATACTTCCAACAAAACTACCAAAAGACAGAAATAGACAATCTCCGCGCACAAAACTAAGACCTTGGCTTCTCTTTCTTCTCCTTGAAGAGAGCTAGAAGGGAGACACCAGATACCTTCACGACCTTGAATCTGACACCAGGAATATCTCCGACAGCATGCCTCTTACATCCAAATTCAGCAATCAACACCTCATCCTACAACAAGAAATGTTTTAAGGTTAAGTCACCAAGGATGACTGCAAAATGATCATCCCAAGCTTTTAAAGAATACTTACATTCTCTTCAATGTAGTTTAAGCAACCATCGATTGGGACAAATGCTGCAATCTTCTTCCCATTTCTAATCAGTTGAACCCTAGCACATTTTCGGATAGCAGAGTTTGGATTGATAACTACCATATTTGATCATAAGAGAATCTAAAGCATGCATAAGAATCATAGAATATGGGTTCCACAAAGAGTCATGAAGATGTAAATTGCCTATGTAAGTGTAAGTGGGCAATGACTTGTAACTATGTAAACACAAGTTTGTCTTAATGTATTCTAAAATACTATCAGAATTGCTATAGAACAGTCCACATTAGATCAACTTCATTTTGTCATTTAATGAGTGCTGCAGTTAGATATTCATCTAATAAAAGAATTAAGAATGAGACTCAAGAAACATGAAAATTCACATAAGAAGATATTCAAGAATGAGAATCTGCACAATAAAACATAATACTAAAATTTATGCTTTACATTACCTGGAAACCAAAACCTTAGAAGCATCAGTTAAACCAAGCTCCTGAGCAATAATATCCAAGTAATAGCCATTTGAAGCAACATTAAGAGTTAAGGGTTCAACAGTCTTCTCAACTGAGTACAGAATTTGCACCACTTTAATCAAAATAGAGTCCAGTAAACTTGATTGTTGGTCAACCACAAACTGTACAATCTCAGGAGGGTATGGATTTTCCCTCTTCATCGAAAGCTGTTCTTCAGAAGCAGACACAGAACCCGATAATCTTGAAGCGGCCTTCAGCATAAGTGACATAATCAACAGTGGATTTGACTCAACCTTAGGATTTATGCTTTTACATAAACTACTGAACTTTGTATCATAGACGAGAGGATAGAAATTGGAACTAAACCATTGAGTTGACCCTCTCTCTGCAAAGCTGCTCTAAAGTGACCACTCAGGGGATGAAGAGATTTAAGGAACTTCACAAATGACACAAAAATAAAGAAAAGCACTGTCAATCCAATCTTTCAATGTTCAAATAAATTGATGCAGTACAGGTGCTTAACATATACCAAGATTAACTAAAAATGCATTATATGATATGCTCAGTTTCAACAGAATCCGATTCCATAAGAATATAAACAGAAGATTAAGCTACTAGATGACTTACACATAAGCCAAGCTAATAGCTTTTCCTCAAAGTCGTCAAGTAATAAAACCTAATTTTGACAAGCAGAAGTTGCACCAATGGAGAATTATTGGGCTTGGGGATTATAAATTGTTCAAAACTTCTCCCATTCACATAACACGTAAGTTAACTAAGAAGTCAGGAGAACAAAACAATGAAATGCACTGTTTCATCAGTAAAAAATGGTCCATCGCCCATGCAAGAACACAAAAGAAAGGCTGAGTTGCACATTTGATTGATTAACTTTTTCAAAAAGAGATGTCCATCACACATTACACTCTCTGAGAAACATGGGGTGATGAAAATTAGTAGTCAGCGAGAAAGAACAAGTATGTCTTTCATTGTATTATCCCTATCTTCATTTGACCCATTAATAATGTAGTAACTCCTAGCCTAAGTCAACATTCATTTCATTGGCACACAGCCTATTCATTTCATTATTGACAAATGTATTCACTCTGAATGCAGGTTGGCTCCCGCAGTGTGCGGGGGTATGGTTCCACCATCGCACGGGACTGGTACGCCGAGCTCCCGGAGGTCGTCCGAGATTTGGTAGATTTGGCAGGATTCGGGCCTTTCTGCGTCGGGTTGTCACGTTGTCCTGCCAGGAGGACACTGATGGCAGCCTTGGTAGAGAGATGGTGGGACACCACCAACTCCTTCCATTTCTCTGCTACCGGGGACATGACTATGACCCCTTTTGACTTTGCTGTATTAACCGGCCTTGACATCGGAGGTTGGTCCATCCCCTACGATGAGGATATGGGCGAGTGGGAGGCCGCCTGGATGTATCTATTGGGGGCTCGCCCACCTGTTGACAGGGTTTCTGGGAGATTCCGATACACTTGGTTCTCTTCCCACTTCCGGCGGGCGGAGATGGTGCCTGAGACTCCCGAGGAGACAGAGCAGTATGCCCGTGGTTTCCTTATGTTCCTCTTCGGGACTACCCTGTTTGCCGACAGAGGGAACACAGTTGGGTTATATCTACTGAGCGCTCTGGTCGACCTATCACAGGTCAGTAGATATGATTGGGGTGGCGCCGGCCTGGCTACCCTTTACTTTTATATGAGCGCGACCTCCCGCGGGCGGGGCGATTTACTTGGCGGCTACTGGAGAGCCTGGGAGGTACTTTTCTGTCCCCTTTGATTTACATTTCTGCTTCTCGTTACTTGTACATTGCACTCACAGCGCACTTTTACAATCTGTGTTTTGCTCTCAGCATTTCGTACTTACATTCTGTATTGCTTTTCTCAGCTATGGGTCTATGTATACTTCCCATCATTAGCCCCAGAGCTGGAGGTGGCAAGGATTCTCATGACCCCATATTCATTGGTGTTCGAGGGCCCGCACCGGCCGAGACCTCGAGAGACCCTCCTTAACCTGCGACAGTACTTCGACACTGTGCGACATTCAGAGGTACCTCAGAACTTTCAGTTCCTTTCATTTTCATCTTTGATTTGCTCTGCATATTCTCAATTTCTGATTGGTTTATGCATTTATCATCCGCAGATTACATGGCAGCCCTGGGTGTCCCTGGGTGATGGTCTCCGACTTCAGTATACCGGAGCGTCGGACATCTCCCAGTATAGGGTCCTGCTTGAAGGGCCGGTTGGCAGGGCATGGTTCCTGGGGGAACGCTTTCTGCGCCAGGTATGGGGGTATCTTTCTCAGGATCCTCCCGCAGTACCCCCAGCCAGTATGCGTACCGCTGACAGGCTCTCTTACTCGGAGGTAGTCGGCACCATGTTGGGCAGTGATGGTTTACTACATATTGAGGAGGGGGACTACGCCACTTACCGTCACATATATTTGATGCCTCCATTGACGGGAGCTCATATCCCGATGATGAGGCCTGCCGGTATGTCATCCTCGGGCCAGGCTCAGATAGTGAACACGCAGCCCACAAATTAAAATTCTCTGAACACGCAGCCCAGGTAGATAGAAAACACGCAGCCCAAACTTCAAATTTTCTGAACACGCAGCCCACAATTTAAACTGAAAGTTGAACACGCAACCCAAACTT